AGCAGGAACTGAGGGGGTTCAGAGTTAGTGAACCAAGCCAGCCTAAGTATTCCTTCCATGTCTTCACTTTCCTAAAATAGATGTCAGTACAAAAATGCAGACAAGGGCAATTCCTCTGTTTCTTTCCTCCAAGGAAGGAAAAATTAGTGACACAGTCCATTATATTGCTCTGTTTCTTTCCTCCAAGGAAGGAAGAATTAGTGACACAGTCCATTACATTCTGCTTTCCTGTTCCAGATGACAAAAAGGCTCCAGTGAGTCCCAGGGTCACACTTGCACATTCTCTGCTTTACTGCAAGAGGCCTGGGAAACACGATTGATGCTGCTTTCAATGAAGACCTTCAGGCCCTGTAAACCTTGTGCATAGAGATATTCCAGATACCAGTTCCATTTCTTTCCCTATAAAAACAGAAAGAATAGTCAGATGTGCCAGACATAGCTTTGTCTCTTTCTTAGGCTAATCTGAAAAGGTCTTCAGATATTACTTTTCACAGTTTGACAACATCCACTCTAGTCTGTAAACACCCACAGGTATACAGGGCCACATCCTGTTCCCAAATGCCCAAACTCTTCACTTATGTATTACACATGATTTTTCATGTTTAAGCTAAGCATGATCTTTGTTTAATACTGAAGATGTTTATAAATCCCAGTTCTAAAAAGAGCAAAGTCTATTGGATCAACAGTGAAGATGTCAGGAACCAAATGAACATGGATATTAAAGCCTGCCTTCCATCACTAACGGTGATTCCTCCAGATCAGGTTTGAAGTACACTTGTGATACAGGAAGGGAAACAAACTGCCACTGAACTTACTCAGTGGAGGATCCTTGTTCAAAGCTGTAACCAAGCTACACATTCATCTCAGAAATTTGATATTAAGTTCATTGATAATAGAAATTCTGCTTCAAGTACACCAAAAATATAACTTTTTCTGGAGCTTGCAGAGAACAATAAACAGTCTTGTCCTGATACTTGCACTGACTTGTGGAGAAAATATGTAAAAATCTTGGACCACTACCCACAGATGGCTAGACACCTAACTTCTCAGACAGATGTTATGTCCTCATGTTTGTCCTTGTTAAGAGATTGAAACAAAGCCTACAGCTGGAATCTTCTCCTTTCAAAATTTTTATAGAGCATTTATGGAATTGGTAAATATTACCACGCATCCTCTTCTATATAGCTGCTGAAAATTGCCTGTTTTCACTAAAACAAGAAATTTTACCTTAATTAAACTGAAGTTGAAGGTGGTATCATCTGGCCAAGCCTTAAGGAGAGAAAATAAAAACAGTATCAAGTCAGATAAAGAGTATGTCCAGAGTTGCTGGGCCTCTGCTTAGTCCCCTCCTAGATCAGGAATTGCAGGTGTGCAAAGAAATTCAGAGATGTTTAATCATGCTTCAGAATAGGCTTCCAGCATCATACTCTGTCCACAAGTGGCAAGGTAATGCAGAGACCCCCTTGCCTTGTGCTGTAGCATTACTAAACAGCAACAGAGTTAACACATCTTTAACCATTGTCTCTCTACAGTGTAAAAGCTACCCCCTTCAAAACATTAGATAGATAATTTCCAACAGTGACAAAGAGCAAGAGGAGAGAACCTACTGACATTTACATTATTGCTTGTGTTCTGAGTACACTGCAAAGTAGTGCCCTCTGGTGCTCAGCACTGAAGTGTTTAAGAAAAGAGCACTGCAGCTAAATATTTTTTCCTGTCTTAAGACACACCTGTGATAGCTGCTAAGCAACATTTCTTTGTTCTGCAGTAGGAAGAATGCAAAAAATTCTCCACCAGAAGGTTTTGGGTTGGGCTTTTTTTGCTTTGTATTTGTTTGTTTGTTTTTAGGTTTTGTTTGGGGTTTTTTATTTGTTTTTTACTTAGAAAAGTTAAAGAAGAATCAGGAAGCCTCACGAACAGGAAGGATCTAGACAAAAGATATGAAAAACTAATCCTGCTACAACAGCAGAAAGACCAAGGAAAAGAAGTTGTATATAACAAAAATAAAATAGCCACCTCTGGCAAAAACAAAACTTGGGTTTAATCAGCAGTGAACTACCTAGATTCAGGACACTGTGTATATAATTTGTCAATTCACGTCAAATTTGTGAAATGTTCCTAACCAGCATTCTTTGCCTCAACTTTAACCTCAGGTTTCCCTTGCTTCATTCTGGGAGCCACACCTAAGCACACCTTCAGTCTGCCAACCTTCCTCACAACAAAACAGCATCTTCGTGCACCCCTTGGGTAGCTTACAGAACGTGATTTCTCAGAGCAGCATTGCACATCGTGGAACAGTAACAACTCCAGCCACTAGTCACTAGCTGCACTGAACACATAATTACACCCAGAATTCAAGACAAGTACTAGCAGAACTCATATCAGACAATAGAAGACAGCACCATATTTTCTTACTTCTGTAGTTGAGGTAGCTACTTGTATTTCTTTTTTAATAAGCCATTCTCAAAAGCTACTGCAAGAGCCAGAAAGCACTGCTAGAAGTTCTACCTTGTGCACCAGTATACAATTGAACTACCTATTTCTTGACTTTCTGGAGTTTAAATGTTTAGGTCATGCTCCATATTTTGCGGGGCAGGATACACTATTGGGAAGCTTTTACTGAATTACTAATTTATTTCATTATTTAGCTATTTTAGATCTATCCTTGGAATTATCATAAGCACACATTCACATCTAAAACTGTTACATTCATGCTTTCATACCATGCAAACAAGGACTATTCAAATTGTGCCACTGATCTGACAAAAAGACAGAATACCATACCAGCTTTTGAAAGCTCAGTCAGTACACTGAGACACACTTCTCTAGAGAAACTGTCAATGCAGAACATCTGGTGCTGCCAAAGACCCAAATGTTGGCCTACACAACTACCTGCTGCAGGAAGAGGACAGCATAGCCCATCATGGCTGGATGATAGACAATGTTAAAGCTGGTTTTGAATTCCTGCACTGCAGTTTTCTTCAGCAGTTCTTCATCCATATGAAGACCTTGAGGATGAATATCCTTCTGGAATGCACTGGATGTCCACAGACAACCCACCATAGCTATTATGTACCGGTTGTACTCCTGGTATGTCTCGCTACTGAACTTGAATTGCAGTATTTTCTGAGGGACAAGAGAACAAAACAATAAATAGCAACCTCCAAGCAGCTGTATGCTCCTTCCAGCCCTTAAAAGAATACCACCAGAACACCTCCCCTCCATTCAAGCCAACTCCTTAGTAAGATCCATTCTAGCACATAGCAAATTTGTCCACAATACCTTTTTACTCAGCTCACTTTCTTTTGCTGCCACCAAGTTGGTTCGATACCTGAAAAAACAAACAAAAGAGAAAGTTAGGTGCCTGTAAATTTATACTACCTACCAGTGTTGAAAAAAGCTGAAGGAATGTATTAAGAAAGCTTATTTCCCCTGCAAGAGAAATCAAACTTCACTGGTAAGAGAGACATGAAAATGAATTTGAAGGGACTTTATCACTTGGCATAGACCCACCCTTTTCAGGCAGAGTAGAGAGACACCCAATAAATAATATTAATCTCTTAAATGATTAAGACATTGCCTGGGACAGTCACCTTCATAAAGGCAATATACAAGAATTGACATACAGCCTTAAAATGAGCAGAAAAATGCACTGTATTTTTAAGAAGGGAGACTTTCATTCACTAAGCAGAGAAACAGAAGTCACTGCAAGTAATGCAACTTGACAGTTTTTCTATATAATAAGCTCTAACTCCTCTTATTTCCCAGAAATCATCCTGTCATGTTAATTACCCTGCAGACTCCTTAGGGAAAAAGCCACATGGAGAGCCCTGCGCCAGCTGTCAGCAACTGGCTACTCTTCTCAGATGCAACCACTGGAACTAACAAGGCCAAGAACAGCAGCCATGTTGGCAGCTCCTGCAGAGCACTAAACAGTGCTGTCTTTAGACCTGCAGGCAGCATGAGGCAGTCCCAAATCCCCAGAGTTTGGAGGTGGCAGAAGTGCCTCCTACTCAGCACATTACAGAATTTGTAATGAAAAGCTCAAGTCTAGGGTCAAAGCACAGGAATGAGAAGTTGTATAGTTAACTACCAGTGATTCCAGCTGGCTGACTTAAGTTCTTTCAAAACAATATAGGAACGCCTTCCTTCACATATCAAAGATATGAAAATGATACTAGGAAAGAGGTCAGAATCTTGCTATTTTGAATAACAGTCTGAAAAGAAAGAGTAGGAACTACAGCTATAAAATTCTATATCACTACAGCTATAAAATTCTATATCACGAAAGCTGGACAAAAACTGTAATTTTCACTTTTGCCTTGCATGGTAAGAAAAAGTAGATTTCAGGTTTTACACCAATGTAATTCCATTTCCAAAAGAATGGAAGAAACAAGGAGTCCCTACAATCTACACCATTTGTAGTACCTGTACATAATGTAGCAGAGCTGATTCAAGTTGACGGAATCCATGCTGAGAAGTGCTGGGTAGAAAACTCCAGCAGGAGGCATTATCAACAAAGGCAGATTGTACCTCAGATACATGTCACACACCTGCAGGAACGAAGCAAATCCAGGCAAATCATTACTGCCATTAACAAACCCCGAAGCCTCTAAGAACAAAAGAGAGCACGACACTGCATTCCAGCCAGCTCCATTGACTTTACCTAGGAGGGAAGGCCAGGGTGAAGCAATTCCATTTGTTTCCTTCTCAGTATGAGACATATTCATTGGTCTCTGCTTCAACCATTTAGGTATACCATACGTTTTGACATGGTTACTTGCAGAGTCAAATCTACCCAGATCCCTGTAAAAATGCAGCAGCCCTTTTTTTCCTGATCTTTTAAATCATTCTGACACATGTAGCTGGGATTACACAAGACCTGACCTCGTTCCTAGCCTGGTTTGCCAATACCAGCAAGCCAAACAGACCATACATCTCTTCCAATTGGGAAATTAAATCTTTCTATTTGACCTTGCTGGAATTGCATGAACACATGATAAAGCTTTGCCCTAAGAAAAGATGATATGGCCATAAAACATGGTTTTAATATCAGACTCATGTTTAGAATTTAAGGTTGCATTTCAAGTAAAAAAAGACATTTTAAAATTTCTGCAGATTTAACAAGATCTTCAGCTATAAGTAATGGAAACCAATATTGCTGTAACTTAACACGTAACTGTCCTCTATAGCTTAGCCACAGTAACTATTCCCAAAGCTATGCTCTTCAGGAAGATATGCATCATTCTCAGAAGAGTAGTGGTCAAAGAATATGCATATCTAGTTACTACAGCTCAGACCACAAGCAATGAATCTGTGACAGCCTGCCATCCTGAAGATGGCTACTTTAACATTTTGTTAAATTAGGCACAACAATTGTTTTAAGACTCCTTCCTCTAACCTTGTAGTAGACTTTTCACTAAAGATTGTTTGCCAGACCTTCACCTTTCCTCTTGCGCTCAGTACAGCTATACCATGTAAGGTATAGGCAGATATTTGTAAGTAAATGAATTACTGGTGTTTTCAGAAGTCTAGACTCTTTACTTAGTATCTCAGCTGCATCATTTTAGAAACCACTAGAGAGTTCTGAATACATAAGCAAAACATCAAGAAAAATTTCAAATCCTAGTTGTCTGCTAGAGCACCAATAATCATGTATTCAAGGGTTCATGATTTTCTGTATATGCCTGTAAAATGAGCATTTACTTATTTTAAACACACTATCTTATGCAATGGTTTTGTGCATTTTTAATGGACATTTTAGTTACAAGTAGATTCCAGAACTATAACTGCTTTTTAAACTCTTCACAATTTTATCCAAATTGTGGAAGCAACAACAGCATGGCTGGAGTTCACGTGGCAGTAAGCACATCTACAGAGAGGACACGAGCAAGCTAGATTTGATGCTGCTTAGTTTGTCTACAGGACAAACTGGGAAAAAAACCTTCGCTTTTTAAGGAAACATAACAAAAAAACCAGGGTATGTTGTTTGAAGTTGAACTGAACATTGTTCTTTTCTATAAATAAGCATTAAAAAAGCATGTTACACCATATTATTTCCCCTTCCACAGTTCACCCCTGACTTAAGAGCAACCACTTTCTAGCAGTGTATTTAGTTCTGCCTGTGTATACAACAGCAGCAGCTATCACCTAGTTCACCTAGATCTACCAAGTATTTGGAACATTCTTGCATTTAATCACAAATTTCTGTAAACTATAACGAGGAAGGTGTTTTCATGCTCTATCTTAAAAAAAAATGCAAACAGCCTTAGAGTATTGGGATTTTGAAAGCCAAAATGATTGAGATACATACGGTCTCATAGAAATCCAGGATGAAGTACAGCAAGAAAGTAGAATCGTCTTCCAAACGCAACGCAACAGTAGAGATCCTTCCAACAAAGTGGATCAGTTCAGCCACCACATTCACTATTCCAGAAAGGGTGGTACTCCTGCAGAAACGACGTGACACCACATTAGTATATACAGTTCTTTGCAAGCAATAAAGAGGAAAAGTGGTAAAAAAGAAATTGAAGTCATCCTTCTGACCCACCAAGAATTCAGCAACATGCATTTGTTCTTCAATATACACAGTAACATATTGTTACCAACATTATTACAAACATGACCCAGCTGTCAGTGTTACAAGGAATTTGACTTCTGGACATTTCCATTTTCAGTGTCAATAGAAATACTCTTAAAGACAAAGAACAGGATTGACATGGTAGCTTACAATATAACAGAAACATTAGAGCATTACTTACCTTCTAGCCAGTCTTTATGCTAGGTGATAGGGCTAGAATATACATCCAAATACACTAGTGAACAATGCACAGAACACTGTATTGCATTTATTTCAGACAAACTTACAAAGCATGGCCTTGAGAGTCAGACTCTGAATCCAGATGAATCACATGCCAATTCAACCAGTTCTGCAACAGCTCTTTCAGGCTCTCAAGAACACTGCACTGCAAGAGGCAAACAGAAAACAGGTTAATGACAAATAAGTGAATAACACTAAACAAAAAATGCCATGAGAATTGACATATACAAGGAAAGATATCAAGAGTTTCTAAGGACCAGAAAAAGCAGTGACATAATTGCATGTCTCATTGAACTGAATGTATGTGCTACATAGCTTTTCCTGGAAAATGCAAGTTTTAAATACTGAAATTGCAGTTAGTTAAAACTGCAATAAAACAAACCAACTATTGTCTTGTGTACTATGAGTTCTTTTTATTTCCAGTGCCACAGTTGAATTTCATTCAAAAAAGAAAATATCTTAAAAGGCAGCACTCAAATTCCCAAAGAAGTTACTCTTTAAGTATGTATTTTACCCTCATTTGGGCAGAAGCTTCCCCAGAAGTCACCTACACCATCCCTCAAACTGCTACACCTGGCACAAGTGCAGATAGCAATATTAACTAGAAATAAACAGGCACTTAAATTACCTTAAAGTAAAGGGATGACGTGAAAAAGAGCTGTGACAGTGGATCATAGAGGTATGACTTCATTTCTGAAACAAACGAGAAAGCTGCATGATACCTGTGCACAAATTCTATCCCCCAAGATCAGACACTGTCCAGCCACACCCAAAGTATCTGCAACACCTACCAGAGAAGCCGCTAAGGGGGATCCAACTCACAAGCCTGAGGATTTGTGATCGGCAGCAGAAGCCGTCCCAGAGAGGAAGGCTCTTATACAGGAACTCTTCACAGGAAGAAAATCCCTCCTACAGAGCAGAAGATGAATATTCAAAAACTCATCTCATATGCCTGCACCTTGCCATGCTCACTTCACCTTGAGAAAGCAAGAGGCTTACACCTCCTTCCTGCCACACAATTCACAATGATATTGAGAATGATAAATCGAATGTCCTTCTCAAATTATCTTTCCTGCGAAAACCAATGACATCACCAGATTATTGACCCGATCTAGGAATACGTGCTTTTATTACTCAGGATACTGTCACTATCTCAGAGATACCTGTTTCCTCTAGTAAGTCCCAAAAGTACTTTAAGGGAAGACTTCATGAAACCCTTGGCTTTCACAAAACAGGCACTTACCTGCAAGAAACACTCTGTCTTGTAGACCATTTCCAGGAAGTCCTTGAATTCTTCTTCATATTGGTTATTATCAGCCACACACCAGGTGCATTCTAACCAGGAGAGAATACTGTATTTGAATATGAGCACAGCAAGAATAAGCACAATCAGAAACAAAATTCAGTTCTCTTCCAGTAGTTGTTTTAACACTATGTGATTATCACTATAAATCCGAATAGCCAAGAACCATTATTAAAAGATGCAAGCCTCAGACATTCTTTACTTCCCTACCATGCAAAGTAATACTAATTTCTTACAAAGGTTTCTACGAGGATAGGAAGACTCTGCAGAGGGATCTGGACAGGCTGGATCAATGGGCTGAGGTCAATTGTACGAGGTTTAACAAGGCCAAGCGCCAGGTCCTGCACTTCGGTCACAACAACCCCATGCAATGCTACAGGCTTGGGGAAGAGTGGCTGGAAAGCTCCCTTGTGGAAAAGGACCTGGAGGTGCTGGTTGACAGCCAGCTGAATATGAGCCAGCAGGGTGCCCAGGTGGCCAAGAAGGCTAACAGCATCAGGCCTGTATCATAAATAGTGTGGCCAGCAGGAGTAGGGATGTGTCCCTGTACTCAGCACTGGTAAGGCCACACCTCAAACACTGTGTTCAGTTTTTGGCCCCTCACTACAAAAAGGATGTTGAGTTGCTGGAGCGTGTCCAAAGAAGGGCAATGAAGCTGGTGAAGGGTCTGGAGCATAAGTCTTGAGGAACGTCTGAGGGAATTGAGGTTGTTCAGTCTGGAAAAGAGGAGGCTGAGGGGAGACCTTATTGTTCTCTACAACTACCTGAAAGGGGGTTGTGGTGAGGTGGGTGTTGGTCTCTTCTCCCAGGTAACTAGCGATAGAATGAGATGAAATGGCCTCAAGTCACACCAGGGGAGGTTAATTGGATATTAGGAAAAATTTCTTTACTGAGTGGTCAAACATTGGGACAGGCTGCCCAGGGAGGCAGAGTCACCATCACTGGAGGTGTTAAAAAAAACAAGTAGACATGGCACTTCAGGACATGGTTTAGTAGGCATGGTGGTGTTGGGTTGATGGTTGGACTTTATGATCTTAAAGGTCTTTTCCAACCTTAGTGATTCTGTGATACCTTCTTGAAAGGTCTGGCCCATCCAATAGTAGAGCCGCAAGTAAATAGATTCATCTTTGATGCAATTCATGTAGTGAAGCAATAAAGGGTTTGTTAGCACTGAACCCATCTGGGAAGGAAACTGCAAGAGAAATCAAGAAAAAGGAGTTATTCAGTATTTACATCAGCAAATTGCCAGAGAATCTCATTCTATTATAGCTGTCCAATCCTTTCATTGGCAAAAAGACCATCTCCAGGACTCATTCATCACGCTCAGGTAAGACTAGATGCTCCATCAGAATTAGGTAGCTGACAAATTATTTACATATAAAAAGGGCATAGAGAAATATCCTTTGGTCTCTCAGAACGTTATCCTTTGATCTCTTAAAACATTCAGTGAGCTTACCCAGGCCTTCCTGAAACTCACCTCTAGGTGGTGGATATTTTGTAGGAGCTGAGAAAAAGTCTGCAGCTGCTCTACTCGAAAAGCAGACTCTTTCGTACTGTACAAATCAACACGGTTCTTTTTCCTGTCCTCTTCTAAATTAGTTCTGTTTGTACTGCTTGCAGGTATAGTCAACTGGGTATTCCATTTCTGTAGAAAAAACCCACAAATGAATAGCAATGACTGTTTCCAATTCAATCAAGTGAACTTGTGCCAGTTTTCCCATAAACACCCTGTTTTGCAAAAAAAAGGTATCCAGACTTTCATTATAATAGGAATGCTGCATTTCTGTATAGCTACTCCACCCTTCCCAGTGCTGAAATAAAGCCCGACTCCCATTATTTTCCAATATCCATAATGAAAACAGCTGCTTGGCTCCTTCTAGGGTCTACCTTAGGCCCATAACCTACCCTTTTTCGTGACTGAGGTTGAGATGTGCCTAAAATCAGTAGCTGGGACACTGGAGAGTTTGCCTGGTTTCTTTGCCTTACTGTGTTGATTACTGCTTTCCATGGGCCCTCTGAATTCTTGAAGTAACTCTGAAAACATAGATCAGACATCTATGCAAAAAGCCAAACTAAGACAAAGCAACACAAAGATCAGTTCTATTATGATAAATATCACCAGTGATGCACATACACTCAAACCTGCTTGACAGACCAAGAGGCTAGGTTTTCCAGCACAGAACTCTCGTCATTCCTCAGTTTCATTAACTTTTGACTATAGTTCAACAGTTAATGCTTTTATTTCCTTCTGAAATGATGTCCCCTTTTTCAGAAGGGATCTCCCTCACTTGTGATTTATAATGCTTTTTCAGATCAATCATCAATTCATAGAGTAAATCTCAAGTATACATTAAAATAAAAAATTATCAAGGTATGCTTACGCAAGTTACTAGGAAAGCTTCCTGAGTTCAGCATCAGTGACATCTGCCCAACAGAGCAATTCAATGGATAATCAAATTCTCAAATTAATGTAGATACTACAGCTAAAAAGAAAACTGAAACAAAGGAACCCAACACCTTTTCCACACAAAACTTACTTTTTGTCACTTCAATTGCAACCAGTCTTTAAATCCTAATCAAGTGCCAAACCATCACAAAAGTATTCAGACTGGTTTGGGCCTAGGCAATCGAGATTTTATTATAACAAGCTAACACAGTGTGTTTATAAAAACAGTTGAAGATGTATTTGGGTTTTAGTTGCTAGTTATTACTTCACTTATATGCATGCCAAAAAACGTAAGTTCTCCAACAGATGACTGTGCAGCACAATGCAAACTATAAATTTATAAAGCAATGCAGATACACAAGCAGATTGAAATAAAATAAATTTGCTTTTATAGAAACACAGTGTGCCTACATATAAATGAAATGTCTCTTCCAGAAAAAAAAACCACACACCAACAAACCCTAAGTCTATCCCACTGAAGTACCAAAAGAAAATTTGTTGCACAATTTAGGTCTCACCTGCTGCTATTTTCTGTTACATATTCAGTTTCTGCTACATACACTCTTGGTGGATATACATACACTGTTGGTGGATATACATACACTGTTGGTGGATATACATACACTCTTGATGAAAGAGCTAAGCATACGCACACGCCTCTCAAAGTGGAGTCATATTTTTTGCATTTACCTCAAGGCCCTGACAAATCAGCGTGCCACATTTTTCCCCACTTTTTTTTCCTCTTTCCTATGACATAGGCTTTCCAAGTGGGAAGTTACTTACTGACTTCTATTGTTATTTGTACTTGAGAAAGCAGAAAAAGTTGGACAATGCCTTGCACAAATAAGACAGTTTGTTTCCTGAAGAACTTAACATTCTCCGAAACAAGTCAAAACCAGCAAGAACACCAAAGAAGGATTAAAGTAATCCTCATCAAGATAAAGGTAGATGCTATTCCATTCCAGATCATCTCTTTGTGCTGAAGAGGAAACAAAACGCAACACAAGGAATCCTCATCTAAACCTGATTTTACTCAGTGAAAAGAGGAAATAGAATTAATCTTCACCGCGAAATCATGCTATAGCTTAAATGGAAAGCTTGGTACAAATACTGCTGTAAGTACTGCTTCCAAAAAGATTAAGTCTAATTCTTTACCTTCATTTTTCCAGGAAGGGTTATGGTCACCAGCTCAGGACAGAAGAGTTTGTAAAGTGATAGTAAAGCCTGCAGATGAGACTGCATTCCCTGTCAAATAGCAGAAGAGGAAAAACATGTAGGGAATGTTTTTAATATAGAAACTGAATACTGTATCCTAGAAGCAAAAAAACCCCAGTGATTACTAAAAGGTTTCTAAAGGTACATGTCAGTAGCTTTAGATGAATGGTTACTAACCATAGGTAAGCAACTGAAAATGAAAGGAAGAACAGAAACTGTGTCAATGAAATACCACAGGAAGGGGATTGAAGAAGGAACTTTCTGTAGTCACAACAATAATAAAAAGGAATTAACAATCAAAAATATGAATACAGTCTTCTGCTATCTAAATGCTCCCCAAACATATTATAGCTACCACTTTTTTCTTACAAAAAAGGGAGCAAAATGCTCTACAATCTTGTATTTCTCAGTCATTTTTCATACCACTTGAAAAAGGAAGATTAATAGAAAATTAAAGATGGTAATAGATAAATGAAGCTGCCCCTTGCTTCAGAGATTTTTGCCACACCTAGCCATGAAACATATAGCTGTGCATGTCATTGCAAGTGCTAACAAAACACAAAGGAAAATTAGGGACACACATGCAAGCTAGACAAGCCCTGATGCTACAAAGATTACAACCTACAATTCCAAGTGTAACCCTGTCCTGAGATACTAGCCACTCTCCTCCATCCTGTAAGGACATTAGTCTTACAAACTGCATTAACGACCACAGTTCAAACTCTACAAGATTTGAAATAAACTCACCATTTTTGCTTGGAGGTCAAGCAGTCTCCTAACCCGAAAAGGCTTGACTAGAAATACAATTAAGAACATAATGGATGTAAAAACCACTGTATCAGACATTTAAGCAAAAATGCAATATGACTTTTAGTATATAAAGTCGTGGCAAAGCAAGCAGAACCAATCAGTCTTATTTCTAGGCTAATAGACAGGTTTCCAATTCAGAAAGCGTTACACAAATCAGGCTGAACTACTACTCATGCTGTCTTGCCTTAAAAGCAATATATTGGCTAGTCATTGTATTAGCTCCATCGGAAGAAAAGGCAGTGCCAGCAAACAGAATAAGAAACAAAATGGTATTCCATCTCATACCATATTCCATCTCCATCCAGTTGGAGAGACTCACCGTTTTCTTTCCTGGTCAGCAGGTAGAGCAGGTGGCAGACATAGGGGCACTGCAAAGAAAAGGCAGCAATGAACTATCCTACTGGTGCAGAACCAGGATACACTAAAAGTAACAAACAAGCTAATACTGTTTGTTCAGTTGGCTGCCTCAAGTCATCACTGCATCCCCATTGGGGCAGAGCATACGTTACTTCCCTTACGTGAAAACCATGCTACTTAGTATCACATCAATTTTATTTAGAAACATTATCTGCACTATGAGCAGTCCCTATAGTAATCCAGCTATTCAGTGAGCTTGGATCTTGTTTTTTGGAACATGGTCTAGATACTTCAGGAGTCAGCAGTGAAAATACAATTACATTTTCAAAAAGAAAGGCACCTTTGAACCAAAATAATTTATTATAGCTTCTAACTACAGCTGAGGCTGTAAGGGTCTTAAATGAGTTTCACACCAACTCTCCTGCACTTTCCAATAGGCCCACCATGCCTGAAAATGCTATTTTAAACAGTAAGAACTTAAACCCAGTTTTATGAAAAGACTATAATTAATGTTAACCTAAAACCATTAAAAACTTTGCAAGAAATATAACTCAGAACTTTGTGAACTTTAAAAGTCTTAATGACAAAATATCCTAAACTGAAAGAATATTAACATTTTCATATATATCTAACATGACTGCCAAGATCATCTTCATATGAACTGAATCCAAACACTTCAGTATTCTAGCACCTGGATTTTACAGTTGCCATAGAGTAAAAGTCTCCTGATGGCTTGTTCTCATTTAAGCTACATTTCAAATCAATTAAGTAGAACAGCATTTAGAGCTTCTCACCTTTAAATAAACATTGTTCTAAATTTTTTTTTTTTCCCTTTTTGCCCAAGGTATGCAAGTCAGTTTCTCCCCAGGAGAAGGAGACTTCACTTGCTGATGTCTGACATCAAAGGCAATCCCAGAGACTGTAGCATCACAGTTACTCTTGGGAATTTAAACAGAATATACTGTTCATACTGTTTATGATGTAAAATAGAAGTTCTTGGAAAAGTGTTTGAACAACAAGGCAAAAGCATTGAAACTAAAATAATCCTACAGTACTTCCCTGTTTCTGAATCTAGATTACCCAGCAATCTTAGAATGCAAAATGAAAGAAAATAAATTACAGCCATCAGAAAATAGTTTCTAACCAACAGCTACTCCAGACTAATTCTAGCATTAATATGCATACTACTAACGAACATTTAGGTTTATTTTGTCAATTCCATATATTCTTCAGCTCTCCTTACCATCTTCTCATCTTGCAGGAAGGAGAAGAAGAAACCATAGAGGGCATGAATTTGTTCCTTGTGATCAACGAAGTCAAACATTGTGATCAACCATCTTAAAAAAAGCAGCTGCAGATAGGAAAAAAGCCATATTACATTAAGTGATGAGCAAAAACAAGACAGACCAGTCACTTGCCAGTTTAAGAGACAAAATCATTAAGGATACATGCCACTCAAGTACAACCAGTTAGGTACAGATGAACCGTATAGGGATAATGCAGCTGTGGAAGAAAGCCTGCTGAGAGCACCAACTGCCACATCAGAAGGGAAAAAGCAGCTCAGTTCTGAATATGTGCTAACCCTCAGATATGATCCGAGGTCCTCTCACTACAAGACAGACACTGAGGTGGCTGGAATGCATCCGAAGCAGAGCAACAAAGCGGGCAAAGGGTCTAGAGTCTTATGAGGAATAGCTGCACGAACTGGGGTTGTTTAGTCTGGAGAAAAGAAGGCTGAGGGGAGACCTTGTCACTCGCTACAACTACCTGAAAGGAGGTTGTAGCAAGGTGGGTGTCTGTCTCTTCTCCCAAGTAGCAAGTGACAGGACAAGAGGAAATGGCCTCAAGTTGCACCAGGGGGGGTTTAGACTAGATATTAGGAAAAATTTCTTCACTGAAAGGGTTATCAAGCATTGGAACAGGCTGCCCAAGGAAGTGGTTGAGTCACCATCCCCGGAGGTATTTAAAAGACATGTAGACATGTCGCTTAGGGACATGGTTTAGTAGTGGACTTGGCAGCATTAGGTTAATGGTTGGACTCTGATCTTAAAGGTCTTTTCCAACATAAATGATTCTGTGATTCTATGATGTAAACCTTTGAGCAGACTACATGAAGATGAAAGACTGTTTTGCTAACATTAAGTCATGTTGCCACAGCCAAGGTACACAGAGCCTAAGAGATACCTTCCTGAAGTTGGTGAATAATGTCTCACATAACTGAAGTATTTCACAGAAAAGTTGGTGGAGAAACCATTCCCAAGGAATTCAGAGATACAAGACAAGCAGGAACTGTGCAAGTTTCCACTTGCACTTAAAAAGCGTTCCTCAGTTCCCACTGCCGTTCCATCAATGGGTGTCTCTGCCAACATTTCTAATGACAGTATCTTACGTAAGAACCTTGTACATTATTTTCAAGGAGAAAAAAATCCTGAGGTTTTAATCTGTCCTCATCATTCCTGTGCAGCAGCAATAAATACTTTAAACATTTACTAAGTTACCTGGATGTTGTCTGAGCATTTGCTGACACAGAGCCAAGATACAGATGAAACGACACAACTTTCTGGTATTACTGAGGCTGGAATCAGGCTCTTCAGTAAACGAGTATTCACTGTATCAGCTGGAAAACAATTTAAAATAAGATGGTACTCATGTACCAGCTTCTTTGATATGGTTTCATAGCTTAGGTCAAAATTCCCTCTGGACAAGATTATTCAGAGCTTCATTGCTTAAAGTAACAGTGCACAAGAATCTAGTAGGGATTCCCTATAACACAAAAAAATTATGAGAAATATTTATTTTCATCTTAAAGAAAGAAAATGGAATGTCAAGTATTTCAGTACTGAAATAGCCTTTAGACTCTTGGCAAGACAACCAGAAGTAGCACAAATTTCTGGTAATATTCAACAACCAGTTCCTTCAGCAAAACAGTATATGACTGTCAGCCAAACATCAGCAGATTAGTGTTCTGGAGATAAGCTAGTAACTTTAAATCAAGAAAAGCACTAAACTTGCATAATGGAGAAAGAATCCTGTGTACCCCTCTTGGGTTGGAGGGAGGGAAAAGTTTAAGGGTTTTTTTAATTGAATATTTTGTTATTTAGAAGTATAAATGGTGGCCACCATTTCTAAAAAAGCAGCATGAGGGTTGCAAGGGCTGCACTGACACTGCCGAATTGATTTTTTGGATGACATTTTAATTTTAGCACATTTCCGTAATACAACTATGTCAGTTTGTTCAAGTATTTTGATCTTGGGGAAAAGAAACCTACATAAACAGTTACAACAAGGAAAAGACACAATGGTTGCTAAGGTCACACTTTAAGCCTTTCAGAGACTTGCAATTATAAACTAAGGGAATATGTTTTTCAAAAAAGTATTTGTAACAAGCCATAATAATTTTCTGGATATCACTGCCCTAGAGGAAGAACTGAGTTTATTTTTAGCATGAACTCAGAAATTACACTGAAGCATGCCAGAAAGATTAATTTTACACTAAAGTACATAACAATACAGTCACCATAAACACTGTATCTCAAGCACATTTGTTTAGAGCAGAAAGAGACATTCACAGAAGACACAGTAGCAGTATATAAACATTTTACCAAGTTTGCCACTAAGTGCTACATTTAGCAATACATCAAATCCTTCAGGGGGTAACCCTCTTTGCAGGGCCGTGCTTTCCACAGCAGCCAAGTGTTTCTGCAGAACATTGCTCTTTTTCAGTGAAACACGGTCTTGAACTAGGGGGGGAAAAAAAAAAAGATGTCAAAGATGAAACAACTTCTGAACTGAAAATGAACTATTTTAAACTTCTCTGAATTGTCCCTACATATATTCCTTTTTGTTGGGTTCTTCATACAGCAAGAGGAAGAGAGGAAAACCTTTTAAGACATTAAGGAAATATTACAAAGCTCAGGCATTAAAGATAGAAAAGAGCAGGTAAAATTAGATTTTATTATTATTACTGTTAATAATAATTCAGTTACCTTTTCAATCCTAGGTAGCTAACCTTAAAACTGCTCTTACCTTTCTCAAAGTAGCTCAAAGCTTGCTCAAGGGAGACTTGCTCGCTGTCATTTTTCTGATCATTAGGAGATTGATGATTCTGGACACTATTTCCAGGGTCAGTTCTCCCTCCTTTTCGCCATGCAGAGAGATCAGTTTGATTTTTATGGTTAACTTGCAGAGGCTGCTTTGGGGTCTTAGAACTCTGTCTTCGCTGCATCTTTTCAGACTCCCAGCTGAGACTGGAGAATTTTACTCATTTGTCATGTGGGTTCCAATCCTTCATTACAAAGAGACAAGAAAATAGGTCAACCTCCAACAGCTGAAGAACATCAGAGAGCCAGTTCCCCCCAAGAAAAGATTAATTTCCTCACAAACAGATTTTAGAGGGATTCTGCATAATGTAACAGAGTAATTTCAGAGGAAATCATTTAGAGCCACTTGCCCCCCAAAAGACCAGACAATATACTCAGAAGATGCACAGACAACAGCATATCAAAACTCCATTCTTTCTTTTGATTCAAAGAAATCACAAACTTAAGAAATTTAAACTCAATAACATTAAAGTGTTATTAAGCAGACATCTTTATTGCAGTGCTGGACACGTGGGGAATCTCTCCTCCTAATGTGCATGCGCTGAAACAAAAGCTCATTCTTTATATACCTTAAAGACATGAATATTCACACATTTTCCAAGAAATCAGCACCTCCTTGCTTATCTACTACATTTGCATAATGCTGGCGTTGCAAAACTACACTACATGTGCGCGAGGGTCTCAGGTAGTCATCGGTGGTCATTTGGGGAGTGAGCCCCCTACTCCTTTTTCCCTTTTATGGTCACAGGTCTCATGAGGATAACTTCTCCTTGGATGCTTGCCCCTTCTGTTGTTCAGCCAAGCAGTTCCTTCTCATCATCCTTGTTAGAGCATTCCTGGGCAGGGCCGGCTCTATTGGTAGGTCTCTTGGTGTTGACTGATTCAAAAAAGTTAAAGAAATTTAAACTCAATAACATCGAAGTGTTATTAAGCAGACATCTTTATTGCAGTGCTGGACACGTGGGGAATCTCTCCTCCTAATGTGCATGCGCTGAAACAAAAGCTCATTCTTTATATACCTTAAAGACATGAATATTCACACATTTTCCAAGAAATCAGCACCTCCTTGCTTATCTACTACATTTGCATAATGCTGGCGTTGCAAAACTACACTACATGTGCGCGAGGGTCTCAGGTAGTCATCGGTGGTCATTTGGGGAGTGAGCCCCCTACTCCTTTTTCCCTTTTATGGTCACAGGTCTCATGAGGATAACTTCTCCTTGGATGCTTGCCCCTTCTGTTGTTCAGCCAAGCAGTTCCTTCTCATCATCCTTGTTAGAGCATTCCTG